TAGCAGAGAAGTACATTAAGAAAAAAATTGGAGGTGCAAAAATAACTTGGTAAAAAAATTCAATTAAAATTGGGAGACTTTGGGGGCACTTGGTTGGCTCAGTCGTTAAGCATCTGCCTTCGGCTCCGTCATGATCCCAGGGTCCTCGGATCGAGCCCCGCATCAGGCTTCCTGCCCAGCAGAAAGCCTGTTTCTCTCTCTTCTACACCCCCTATTTGTATTCCCTCTCTCACTCTCTCTCTCTCTGTGTGTCAAATAAATAAATAAAATCTTTTTTTAAAAAATTGGGAGACTTTGACTTATCTTTTCTGGACTAATACATCTAGTACAGATAAATAAAAGTGATCACATGGGGCACTTGGGTGGCTCAGTCGGTTAAGTGGTCAACTCTTGGTTTCAGCTCAGGTCATGGTCAGGTCAGGTGGTGGGATCAAGCCCCACAACCACCTCCACACTCAGCAGGAAGTCTGCTTCAAGATTCTTTCCCTCCCTCTACCCTGCCCCCTATGTGCACAAACACACATGCTCTCTAAGATAAATAAATAATCTTAAAAATAAAAGTGATCATAGAGAAATTGAATAATGCACTAAATAGTCTAATAGCTTCTTAAAACTAAATATTTTTCAAAAAAGCACATTTTTCATTTTTCTTATGTCCATGAAACACATATAGAAATACACAGTTTTACCCAAAATATTTAGAAGGATTAGATTTTCCAGACCAAACTTTGTAAGCCTATAAAGTTAGAAATAAAAAATAAAGTTAACAAGAAGTAGTATCAGAAAAGATGGCAGAGGAGAAAGCACCAGGAATCTGTCTTTTCTCCTAGACAAGCGTTATACTATACTGGGGCAAACACTCCTGAAGTAGCTATTTTGGAACTCTGGACTCTATTTGAACAGTTACGGCTACCAGAGAAAAGGTTGGCTGGTAAGCTACAAATAAGTAGGTCACTCAGTCACTCAGGCTTCAGAATGATCATGGCTACTCATCCTAAACCCTAAGGCAGAAAATGTGGGGAGGGCAATCCCTCTTTTTAACATGGTTTGCTGGAGCCAGAGAAGCAATAAGGATTTTGCCTCCCAATTACCAGGTTTCTGTCTTCTGACTGCAGACTGCTGCTTCTGACTGCAGAGCTACAGGCACGGAGGCTGGTCACCAGTGATTCAACCCCTACCAGCTGAAGTGATCACCATACTGAAAGGAGTCACACCTATTTCTTTAAATATCAAAAACAACCATGAACAGAGAAAATTAAGAGAGCTGCTCTACATGCCCAGAAAAAAATACAGTCTCAGAAAGGACCTGTAAAACCTTAACTTTCGGGACACCTGGGTGGCTCAGTTGGTTAAGCAGCTGCCTTCGGCTCAGGTCATGATCCCAGCGTCCTGGGATCGAGTCCCACATCGGGCTCCTTGCTCGGCAGGGAGCCTGCTTCTCCCTCTGCCTCTGCCTGCCAATCTGTCTGCCTGTGCTCGCTCACTCTCTCTCCCTCTGTCTCTGACAAATAAATAAATAAAATCTTAAAAAAAAAAACAAAAAACCCTTAACTTTCACCGTATGCTCATCCCTGCACAGACATACTCTATAAAAGTTAAACAAAGAGCAAACCCTAGAGAAAAGGGAGAATGTGATTTCTAGAGTTGTTATCACATAAGATTCAAATGTCCAGTTTGCAACAACAAAAAAAATCACAAGGCATACAAAGAAACAAGAAAGCACTATCCATTCAAAGGAAAAAAGTAAGTCAACAGAGAACATACAAGAGGAAACCTGTATCAGACTTACTATGCCAAGACTTTGAAAACCTTTATCTTAAAGATGCTCAAAGAGCTAAAGGAAGATGTGGACAAACAAGAAAATGATCAATGCACAATATGCATAACAATAAAGAGATAATTTTTTAAAAGAGCCAAACAGAAATTCTGACACTGAAAGGTACAATAATTGAAGTGAAAAATTCACTAGAGGGGCTTGAAAACAGATGTGCACAAGCAGGATAAAGATACAGCAAACCTGAAGATAGGACAACTGAAATTACAAAGCTTCAGAAAAAATGAACAGACTCTAAGGAACCTATGGAATATCATCAACACATTGGGGACCAAGAGCACTTTCTGCAAAACACAGAAGACAGAAAAAGGGAAAGAAATTATGGCTGTAATATGTAATGCAAGCAGTACACACTACAGTATTTCTAATAATACCAATGAATTTCTCTTACAATTCCCTTAATAAGTTTCTTTTCTTTAGCTTACTTTATTGTAAAAATACAGTACATAACATGTATAACATATAAAATACTTATCACTATTTATGTTATCAGTAAGCTTTCCAGTCAATAGTAGACTATTAGTAGTTAAATTTGGGGAACTCAAAATTAGTAGCTTCTGAGTTCCTTAGATGGCATTAAGGAAAATGGGCTGCTAATCTTCCCAAAAAGAGAACAGAAAACTGTCACCTCATGGTAACACAAACCACATGACCTTATGATATGGGAAAAGTAAGACATCTCATGAAATAATGTAACATACTTTATGGTTGACCCACAGGTAGGAATTTCCCCCCATCTAAACAACAAAGCTTTAATGCAAGTGCTCATTCCACACTGTCTGGAACATCAGCAGCCAGAGGCCACTCCTACCATCCTTCCACACTTGATGCCCTCCTCCAACCACAGCTGAAGGCATCAGGTCTTTGCAGTCATACCGTCTGAATGCTCCTCCAGAACCTGGTTATCTTACAATTAAATTCTTTTTTAGAAAATGGACTAGAGGGGCGCCTGGGTGGCTCAGTGGGTTAAGCCGCTGCCTTCGGCTCAGGTCATGATCTCAGGGTCCTGGGATCGAGTCCCGCATCGGGCTCTCTGCTCAGCAGGGAGCCTGCTTCCCCCTCTCTCTCTCTCTCTCTGCCTGCCTCTCCGTCTACTTGTGATCTCTCTCTGTCAAATAAATAAATAAAATCTTTAAAAAAAAAAAAGAAAGAAAATGGACTAGAAATGAATCATCAGAAATTATGTTTTCACTTAGACCTCAAAACTCCAAAAAGCTTTTAAGAATGTAAATCAATCAGAACTTGGGGACTTCCTTCAGTAAGCATGATGAGATTCAACAGAAAGGATTCTGCCTTATTTTACAGTTATCCAAGTAATTCTTTTACTTTCCTACTATGTTTCCTGAAGGAAGATGACCTTTGCATGACCTACAATACCAAGCACCACACCTATCACCAAGATGTTACCAATGATTCTTTCCATTAAAATGGCCTGACCAAGATGCCAAGCAATTTGCGATATTCAACAATATTAACACTACTGTTTTTTAATGACAAATAACTGCTAATTAGAAAAATAATTATTATAACAGAACAAAGTCCTTAGCCTAAAATTAAATGGCCATGGATAGACAGATTTATAAAATTTATCAACTACCACATTTTGACAAAATCAAGATTAATAGATGCAGTCTCCCTTTTCTCATTGGCTCCCCCTAATCAGCTGAGGGCTGGACTATTAAACTAGATGTATTAGAATTATAACTCAACCATCAGATGACTAAACATATGACCAAGCACCCACAGCATTGTCCTAGAAGGATAAACCAATTGACTCTGAACACTTGTTCTGGTTGTCTGAGGCAAGGGGCTCTACTGTATTTGTACATAACTGGCTCTTTGGACGACTAAGAAATTCTTGAAGCTGCTGACTAGGCAACTTCTGGATAAGTAAAATATTCCTGTATTAAAAAAAGTACTATACTGTGGAATACAATCACTGTAATAAGAATTTAGAAAAATAAATGTAATCTAGAGTTACTGAAAAGTAACCAAGGCTTCATGAAAGATTGGAAAGATGATCATAATCAGGATTAGGGAAGAAAGGGAGAAAACAAAACAGGAACAGGGATTTGTAGAAGAAACATATAGGAGAAAAACAGATTAATATGGGGTCAGATTATATTAATTTGAAACACTGAGGCATAGAAAATACTTATATGTATTATATACATTAAAACCCATTGTAACAAGATTAACCTGGTGTTGACAAATATAATGGAATGGCACAATAAATCAGACATGAGGTAGTAAGCATCTTCAACTTGAGTAGTGGTAAAGGAAATAAACAGGAAACAATAAACTTAAGACACAGTCCTGAGAACACACTGAGAGAAATTAGGTTTTCTGAGCTATTACCTTTAAAATGACAATCCCATCACCACTTACTGCCTTAATCACTCAAAGGATTACTATGAGGATAAGTAACTGTCTCTATATATACCAACACACACACTCCCTCTAAATTAAAAATCATCATACAATCTTGAGGTATACATTACTTTTAAAAAGGGGACAAAGAATTAGTAAGAGTCAGAAATGACTACTAAGTTTCAAGTGTAGGAGTAATGGGTTGCTATTAAGAAACAGAAAACAAGGTGCGCCTAGGTGGCTCAGTGGGTTGGGCCTCTGCCTTCAGCTCATGTCATGATCTCAGGGTCCTGGGATGGAGCCCTACATCAGCTTTCTGCTCAGCAGAGAGCTTGCTTCCCCCCTCCCCCTCTGCCTGCCTCTCTGCCTACTTGTGATGTGTATCTCTCTCTCTCTCTCTCTCTCGGTCAAATAAATAAATAAAAAATCTTTAAAAAAAAAAAAAAAAGAAAGAAACTGAAAACAAACATGCTTGAGCAAGGTTAAAGACAAACAGTTTGCTTTTTTATTTAATGTTTTGGTACCAAGCTGAAGAACTTTTCAAATTAATAATCTAAATGCAAGTCAAAAATCTTTAAAATTAAGAAAAATGTACATAATTATATATTTAATATAATCTTAGTGATCTCAAAGATACATACCAACACACACATAAAACATTATCAATAGGGAAACTTAATATTTTTTCTATGTTTTCCAGATATCAAATTTAAAAAAAAAAAAAAAAACCTGATACAATTCAAAAGGCTTTTCATCCTTTTCAGAGAAAATCTGAAGAAAATGTATATAAACTTACTCTGCCGCGATGTGGGACAATACCCTTCAAACTGTCTGCCCTTTCTTGCTCCTGTTCAGTTCTCTGAGTACTAGAAGAAAATGATAATACACCATCTACATGCCTTCTACTATCTCCATTATCTATAAAATTACCTGAAATACAAGAAAAAAATTTAATAGAGCAACGTCAAAGTCTCAGTAATCTAGTAACTGCTTCTTGCTATTCAAATTATTTTATGTAAATCTAGTAATTAACAATCATATGACAAATATAGCAATTAGCATACAAGAAAAGGTAACCATCAGTAAGAGACAACAGGAAATATGACAAACTGTGACTACACAGAATTCATTTTAAATTCTCAAATGTTTGAATAAAACATACTCATTTGTAATAAGTGATGTAAGCAATATACATTATAGTTTTTCTAATAATATTCTTTTGAAAAGTTTGAAGGAATTCAACAGTTAATATAGGTTACACTATACCACAGAAATGAATTCTTTGGAGAAAAGGCAAAGTCAAACAGAATTTAAGAACAATGGAATTAAGAAGGGCACGTGTTATGATGAGCATTGGTATTATATACAACTAATGAATTACTGAACACTGCATCAAAACGTATGATGTACTGTACGGTGGCTAGCTTAACATAATAAAAAATAATAATAAAATAAAATCTTTAAAAAAAAAAAAGAACAATGGGGTCATATTTCAATACTTACTGGTCCCAGGCAGACAAACAACGTGGCCTATTTCAGACTCTCTGTGGGTTGTTTCAGAATTTCCTGAAGAGTGTGAGCCATGGGAAATCAGAGAGCTGTTACCTGCTGATTGAGATTTATAGCTACCATTTTCATTTGCCTGTTGAGAAAATATCTTAGCTGTATTAATTTTTTAAATTAAAACCAACATTTTTAGGGGGAAAAACATGAGAAGCAGAGAATGACTTCTTGACAGAAGGATGCCAAGTAATTAAAGTAGAAGGAATTGGAAACATCACCTTTATAATCACCATGGGAATACTTGTTTCTAGGAGGCCTCAGCAATGATACTAAATCCAGTTTGTGAAAGGTTCTTGGGGAATAGGAAGTTCGCATGGCCTCAATGCATCATTCCTCAGAATACTTATAACAAAGAAGAAAAGAAAGGCACCTACACAAAGGAGACATCTAGCCAACACCACATTAACCAAGATTATCAAACACAACATCACCAACAGTGGGACCAACACACTTCTACGTCTCCTGATGTGATTCAAGGAGAAGCACACATCCTTACTGTTTAATCTTAACCTGTTCATGATAAACATGCTTACTTGGACTTCTTGCCAAAATCCTTAATCTAATCAGGAGGGAGAAAAAGCAATCAGATATAATTAGCTTATGGTTCATTTTACAAAAGCTTTAATGATATGGAAGAACTACTCCAAAGTGAAATACTGAAGAGATATGACAACCAGAAGTACCTGTAACCCTTGATTAAATCCTAGATCAAAAACAATAAAAGGACATTTTGGAGACAATTGGGTGAATGTAAATATGGACTGTATATTCATTTACATTACTGTATCAAAGTTAGATAACAGAATTGAAATTATGCAGGAAAATATCTTCATACACAGGAGAAAATGTGAAAGTACTAGGGTGACTTGTCAAAAATATCCAAATTCCTCTTAAAAGTACCCATGGAAGGACAAAAAAAAAAAAACATAAAGATGGCCAAATGTTAACAACTGGTTAAAATGGATGAGGGGCATACACATGTTCACTGTGATATTCTTCAATTTTTCTGCAGAGGAAGGAAAAGTAAGAAGCAGCAAGAAAGGATGGGCAAGGTATTTCTCATCACAAGGTATTTCTGATCATAAGGTATCATCTCATCACCAAAGAAAACCAAAAGCTTACATTTTATGGTAATATCTAATGAGACCAGTAATAGTTTTCAAAAGTCAAATTTATGAAAAACCATAAGACTAGAACATACCTGACATGGATCACTTGTTGGTAATTTAAAATCTTTTTCTGGATGTTCCTGTTCTAGGTCTTCATATATCATTCCTGGAATAGCCAGTTGTTCAAAGTAAGCCTCCAAATGTTCATCATAAAACTCTTCATCATCAATATCATCATCTATTGGTAAAGTGGGGGGAAAAAAGGAAATGTTTTAAAGTACTGATTGAACTACAAATAATATTTAATCAAAAAGGCTGATAAAGACTTCTGAGGAAGAAGGAAAAGTAGGGGGTCCCTAAGCTTACCTCGTTATACGGATACAACTAGATACCACCCACATAAGTATGAATAACCCAGAAAAGGACCCAAAGACTGCCAGAACAAACATTCCACAGCTAAATGCAGAGAAGAGGCCACATCAAAGAGGACAGGAAGGGCAGAGACACAGTCAGGAGCTAAATGAACCCATGGGAGAGTCTTCAAAAGGGAGGGACACCAAGAGTGCAGAGACAGGAGAGAAACAGACCCTCACACCAGGCACCTTACAAAACCCCATGACATCTAACTTTGAAAAACAAAGGGGTTAAATTTCACAAGTTCTTTCAATCACTGGGGCATATCACCTGGAACTTTAAAAATCAGTGGGCTCAGTTCTGGCAGAGCCAAGAGGGCAAGAGGAAACTGAGTCCCTGCCTTTAAAAAGACATCACAACAAATAGCCCTGCAGAGATACAACACAAAACCAATAGTCTGAAAACCATCTCCCTTCCCTACTCCCCAGCCTAGATACACAAATACCTGTGGGGACCAGTGGACAAAGACACTCTCTACGTAACTTGCTAACAATGCACCCTGCCCCACATTCTCCTACAGACACACCCCTTCCATTATGCCCTTGGCCGGAGCCCATCCAAAGCAGTGCCACAAGACTGGCAGTGTGCAAGCAGCCCTGACAGGGGCCAGCACCACTCCAAAGGAACTCCTGCCCCAGGGAGAGGGGACTACAGCCACACACATATCAAGACTGTGGTCCCAGAAGTAGGCTGAAGACAGACAGCTAATCTGACTACCAATCTACCAATGAAACCCATCTACCAATGAAAGCTTTTCAGGGGACAACACAGGGAAAGCTCCCTGCAGTTTGGTGCTACCACAGCTCTGGCAAATACCTGGTCTGACTCACCTCAAGCCCAAGGCAGCCCCAGACTGCCCCAATATAACACAGGGACCAAACCCTGCCCATAACAGACAAACAGAAACTGCAGATGACTGCACTGAAAGCAAAAGGGGCTCAGCTCAGCCACAAACACACACAGGAAACAGCCCTTAAGCACCAGGCTCCAATAAACAGGGGAAACTGCACTGGAGGGCACTACAGGACCTCTTATTCATAAGGCTGCCACTTTCAAGAACAGAAAATATAGCTGACTGTCAAACCACATAGAAACAGACACAGAGAGTTGGACAAAATAAAGACAGAGGAAAATATCCCAAATGAAAGAACAGAATAAAAATCAAAGCAATAGACCTAAGATAAGTAATATTCCTATAGAGAATTTAAAGTTATGGTCATAAAGATAGGCACTAACTACAGAAAAGACTAGAGGACATCAATGAAACCCTTAACAAAGAAATAGAAAACAAAAAACAACCAAAGTTCAACAATTTAATAAATACAATTAAAATACATGGAATAAACAGATGGAATAAATAGACAAGATAAAGCAGAGGAATGGATTAGCAACCTGGAAGACAGAATAACGGAAAATAATCAAGAAGAACATAAGAGAGAAAAAATAGTAATAAAAAAGTGAAAATAGACTTAGGTAGCTTAACAACGCCATCAAATTTAAGAACATTCACATTATAGGGATCCCAGAAGGAGAAAAGGGAGTAGAAATTTATTTGAAGACACAAGAGCTGAAAACATCCTGAATCTGGGGAAGGAAACAGAAATCCAGACCCAGAAGGCACAGAGAGCCCTCAACAAAATCAACCCAAGGAGGTCCACACCAAGACACATAACAATTAAAATGGCAAAAAATAGAGATAAAGAGAGAATTCTAAAAGCACCAAGAGAGTTGGGGTGCCTGGGTGGCTCAGTCAGTTAAGTATCCAACTCTTGATCTCAGCTCAGATCTTGATCTCAGGGTCATGAGTTTAAGCCCCATGTTGGACTCCATGCCTTAAATAGATAAAAATAAAAATAAATAAAAGCAGCAAGAGAAAAGAAAACAGTTACATGCAAGGGAATCCCCATAAAGCTATCAGAGGATTTTTCAGCAGAATTCTTCTGCATGCCAGAGGGACCAGGGACGAAATATTCAATGGGCTGAAATGAAAAAACATGCAGCCAAGAATACCCTATACAGCAAGGCTATAATTCAGAATTAAGAGAAAGATAAAGAGTTTCCCCCACAAACAAAATTTAAAGGGATTCAAGACCACTAAACCAGCCCTATAAGAAATGTTAAAAGGCACTCTTTACTGGAAAGACCTTAAGTGGCAGTATGAAAAGTAGGAAGCACAAAAGCAGTAAAAGTAAGTACAAGAATTAGTCTAGACATTCACAAAATAAAAGGATGTAAAGCATGACACATACTTAAAACATACACATATACCTAAAATGTGGAGGGGAGAGAAGTAAAGAATGGGTTGAAACTCAAGCAATCATCAAATTAATAGACTGCCATATACAGAAGCTGTTATATTCAAACCTAATAATCACCACAAATCAAAAATCAGTAATAGATAAGGAAATAATAAAGAGAGAGGAATCCAAGTACATCACTAAAGAATGCCACCAAACCCTGAAAGAAGAGAGCAAAAAAGAAGAAAGAAACAGAGAACTATATATAGACATAAAACAAATAACAAAATGGCAGTAAGTACATACTTATCAATAATTACTCTAAATATAAATGGACTAAACACTCCCATCAAAAGATACATGGTGGGTGCCTGGGTGGCTCAGTGGGTTAAAGCCTCTGCCTTCAGCTCAGGTCATGATCCCAGGGTCTTGGGATCGAGTCCCGAATCGGACTCTCTGCTCAGCAGGGAGCCTGCTTCCCCTTCTCTCTGTCTGCCTCTCTGCCTACTTGTGATCTCCCTCTGTTAAATAAATAAATAAAATCTTTAAAAAAAAAAAAAAGATACATGGTGATGGAGCAGATGAAAAAGCAAGACCCATCTATAAGCTGCCTGTAAGAGACTCATTTCAGGGACGCCTGTGTGGCTCAGTCATGAAGCATCTGCCTTTGGCTCAAGTCATGATCTCAGGGTCCTGGGATCAAACTCGGCATCAGGCTCCCCCCTGAGCAGGAAGCCTGCTTCTTCTCCCTCTCCCACTCCTTCTACTTGTATTCCTTCTCTCGCTGTCTCTATCAAATAAATAAATAAAATCTTAAAAAAGAGAGAGAGAGAGAGAATCATTTCAGACCTAAAGAAACATGCAAATTGATATTGAAGGGAAGAAGCATTTATCATGCAAAAGGAAGTGAAAAGAATGCCAGGGTAGTAGACAAAACAGACTATAAAACAAAGAGGGTAACAAAAGACAAAGGACACTATATAAACATAAGGGGACAATCCAACAAGATGTAACAATTATAAATATATATGCACCCACCATGGGAGCACCAAAATACATTAAGCAACTGATAACAAATATGCAAAATGTAATCAACAGTGACATAGTAATAATAAAGAGCTTTAACACGGGGTGCCCAGGTGGCTCAGTGGGTTAAAGCCTCTGCTTTTGGCTCAGGTCGTGATCCCAGGGTCCTGGGATCAAGCCCCGCGTCGGGCTCTCTGCTCAGCAGGGAGCCTGCTTCCTCCTCCTCTCTCTCTGCCTGCCTCTCTGCCTACTTGTGATCTCTGTCAAATAAACAAACAAAATCTTTAAAAAAAAAAAAAAAAGAGCTTTAACACCCCATTTACAGTAATGGACAGATCATCTAAACAGAAAATCAACAAAGAAACAGTGACTTTGAATGACACACTGGACCAGATGGATCTAGTAGATATATTCAGAATATTCCATCCTAAAACAGATACTTCACAAGTGCACAAGAAATATTCTCCAGAATACATTATATTAGATCACAAAACATGCCTCAACAAATTCAAAAACACTGAAGTCATACCATGCATCTTTTCTTACCACAACACTATGAAACCACAAATCAAACAGAAGAAACCATCTGGAAAGAACACAAATACATGGAAGTTAAATAACATGATACTAAGGAATAAGTGGGTCAACCAAGAAATCAAAGAGGAAATACGAAAATATGTAGACAAATGAAAATGAAAATACAACAGTCCAAAATCTTTCAGATGCAGCAAAAGCTGTTCTAAGAGGGACGTTTATAACAATAAAGACCTATCTCAAGAAGCCGAGAAAAATCTCAAATAAACAATCTAACCTTACAAATAGAGGAGCTAGAAAAAGAACAAACAAAACCCAAAACCAGTAGAAAGAAGGAAATAATAAAGATTGGAGTAGAAATAAATGAATAAAAATTAAAAAAACAATAGAAGAGATCAATGAACCCAGAAGCTGGTTATTTGAAAAGATCAACAAAAGTGACAGATTTTTAGCAGTATTCATTTAAAAGAGAGAGGGAACGCAAACAAAATCAGGAATGAAAGAAAAGAAATAACAACTGACACCAAAGAAATACAAAGGATTTTAAGAGAATATTACGAAAAAGTTACATGCCAACAAATTGGGACAACCTAGAAGAAATGGATGAATTTATAAAAACATATAACATCCCAAAAGTGAATCAGGAAAAAATAGGAAAACTGACTGATTACCAGCAAAGAAATTTAATCAGTAATCAAAAACACCCAACCAAAGTCTAGCACCAGATGGCTTCACAGGTGAATTCTACCAAATATTTTAATAGAAAGTTAGTATCTCTTCTTCTCAAACTCTTCCAAAAACTAAAAGAGGAAAGAAAGCTTCCAAATTCATTCTATCATTACCCTGATACCAAAATCAGATAAAAATACTATAAAATGGGCACCTGGGTGGTTCAGTGGGTTAAGCAGCTGCGTTCAGCTCAGGTCATAATCCCAGGGTCCTGAGATTGAGTCCTGCATTGGGCTCCGTGGAGCACCTGTTTCTCCCCAGCTTGTGCTCTCTCTTGCTCTCTGACAAATAAAGAAAA